TGGCGGCCCCCCTGTATCTCCTGACCAAGACAGACGGACCCTTCATTTGGGAGGACCACCACCAACAAGCCTTCGACCACATAAAGAAGGCCTTGTTGGAGGCTCCGGCTCTTGGCCTGCCTGATCTGACAAAGCCATTTGAGCTGTATGTTGATGAAAAGCTGGGGTACGCGAAAGGGGTCCTGACTCAAAAAATTGGGGCCGTGGAGACGCCCCGTAGCCTACTTGTCAAAGAAACTAGACCCAGTGGCTGCCGGCTGGCCCCCTTGTCTGAGAATGGTGGCAGCGCTGGCAGTCCTGGTCAAAGATGCCTTTAAGTTAACCCTGGGTCAGCCTCTTTGTGTTCGGGCCCCCCACGCTCTTGAGTCTCTCATCAGACAGCCCCCGGATCGGTGGCTCTCGAATGCCCGGATGACTCATTACCAGGCTTTGCTCCTGGACACTGACCGCATCCAGTTCGGACCCCCCGTCGCTCTCAATCCTGCAACCCTGCTGCCCACCACAGAAGAACCTGACCCTCGGGATGACCATGACTGTCATCGGGTTCTGGCCGAGGTTTTTGGCACCCGACCAGATCTCAGCGATAAGCCACTGGAGAAGGCAGATTACACCTGGTACACAGACGGGAGCAGTTTCCTCGAAGGGGGTCAGCGCCGAGCTGGGGCGGCAGTCACCTCAGAGAGCAAGGTAATATGGGCAGAGCCTTTACCAGAGGGGACATCGACGCAAAAGGCCGAGCTGGTGGCCCTGACGCAGGCCCTGCGGTTGGCAGAAGGTAAGAAGCTGAACGTATATACTGACAGCCGATACGCCTTCGCTACGGCACACATCCACGGAGAAATTTATAAAAGAAGGGGGCTCCTTACTTCAGGAGGAAAAGAAATAAAGAACAAAGCTGAAATCATAGCGCTCCTAGATGCTCTGTTCCTGCCAAAAGAACTCAGTATTATGCATTGCCCGGGACATCAGAAAGGAAACCAGCCAGAAGCAAAAGGAAACCGGCTGGCCGATCAGACAGCCAGGGAGGCTGCCATGAAGAGTCAAGTACTAACCACGAGAATCGTCCCCGAACAAAAGAGAGACGAGGCCATTAGAAGCTATTCCCAGGAAGACAGAGAATTACTTAAGAAAATGGGAGCCCTCAGTGATCCAGAGACTGGGTATTGGGAATATCAGGGAAAGACAGTTCTACCTCAAAAATCAGTAGAAGACCTCCTAGATGAACTTCACAAATGGACCCACCTAGGAGTCTCCAAAATGAAAAAGCTGATCGAGCGGGAAGAAACAATCCATTATCTGCTAAACAAAGATGCCATCCTACAAAGAATTGTTAAGAACTGTAAGGCCTGTGCCCAGGTAAACTGGGGCAAAAATAAAGCTTCAGGAGGGGTCAGACAAAGAGGCCACAGGCCAGGAATTCATTGGGAAGTTGACTTCACCGAGGTCAAACCAGGAATGTATGGCTATAAATATTTGTTAGTTTTCATTGACACTTTTTCAGGATGGCCAGAAGCCTACCCGACCAAGCAAGAAACTGCAAGGGTGGTATCCAAGAAGCTATTAGATGACATCTTTCCCCGATTTGGGATGCCTCAGGTAATAGGGTCAGATAACGGACCAGCCTTCGTCTCCCAGGTAAGTCAGAAGGTGGCCAGGTTACTGGGGATTGA